ATATTTAGAGTGCCTCGAAACATGTTTAGAGTTCGTCTAAACATGTTTAGAGTGCATCCAAACATGTTTAGAGTGCATTAAAACACTTTTAGAGTGCGTCGAAACATGTTTATTGTTCGTCTAAACATGTTTTGAGTGCACCAAATCACGTTTAGAGTGCGTCCAAACACATTTAGAGTGCATCCAAACATGTTTAAAGTGCGTCAAAACATACTTAGAGTTCATCCAAACATATTTAGAGAGCATCGAAATATTTTAAGAGTGCGTCGAAACATGTTTAGAGTGCATCCAAACATACTTAGAGTGCATCCAAACACGTTTAGAGTGCGTTCAAACACGTTTAGAGTGCGTCCAAACACGTTTAGTGAAGATTTCTATAAGTTTGAAATATAATTATATAATATGGATAAAAGAATTCAAAGAGAATTGATAATGAACGAACAAATAAGATGAAAGAAATATGAAGAATGGAGTATTAATCTCCTATTCGTATATCTTACTAATCTCACTTAATCATGTTACATATATAGAGAAGAAACAAATAAACAATATAAAGAAATAAATAAATCCTAAACGGCTATATACATTTAAGGAAAGAAGAAGATAATTGATCCTAAATTTATTCTAACGGTAATATGATGCAAACCGCATCTAATCAAATCCACAATGTTGCAGCCACCATATACGTCTTCATGGTTTAAGCCCTTGAATGTTCTTAGGGTTGAGGCTTCATTAAGTGATCTTTTCTAACATTTGAGACTTTATAATCTTCAACATTCCCCCTCAAGATTAGCTTGGAAGAATATCGACAAGTTAATCTTGACAACCGAATATGTTGATCCGTCTTCAAGTATCCGCTACATTCCAAGTTCGGTTTTATTTTCTGCAACATCTCAAACGAAATATTAGCAAACGCAAAGAAGGCCGTAGCTCTCCGTTTTGAAATAAATTTTGATTTAAACTTTTCTAAAATTTTCATGTCAAAGAGTAACAAAAATAATTTTTTAATATGATAATATGCAAGTCTTAATGCTAATTTCTGAAGGTATACTAATTGTTTATCATAAACTTCAAATGTATCATACATTATCTTAAAAGTATTCTTAGCGTGCATATTTTGTTTTTCTTCAAAGAACATAATTTTAATTGTATCGGGGTAACAAATAAACGAGATAGGGTTAGAAATACCGAACATAGAGTTGTTGAAACTCATATCCTTTTTGGTAGAGAAGCATGCGGGTGTATCATGACATTCCCCCTCACTCGTGAGCTTCTCGACACCGTGAGACTTCATGATTATTTGTTGGATGTTCTGGTCATAAACACTAAGACAACCAAACATATCACTTGGAACACAAAAATCAAAAGAGATGGGAGAATAGAAGATACTACAAACTTGAGTTTCTCTCCATACGAAGGAGATGCTCAGATTCTTTGTTATACTCGGATGAGGAATGAGTTCGGATGCATGTGATGCCTCTTCTTCGGGATTCTTCGCCTCCATTATGAGGTCATTCACAATCACATCCGTTTCTCTTCCTTCTTCTCCCGAGAGTGCATGATCCAACTTATGGCCCTTGTAATGGTTGTTGTGATCGGTTTGTAGGTCTCCATGCATTGTTTTTTTTCTCTTCAATGTTTTCTACCTGTGCTTTTTGTATCATTTCAAAAAACTCATTAGTTCGAAATAATTCTTCAAGAAGAGAAATACTTAACTCGATGTTATTGTCATTGGCGTTTTGCACCAACGTCTTACTCAAAGACTTTGGTATTTTGGCTAAGACCTCATCGACATCCCAATGTTCTCTGTATTCTGGTTCTTCATAAACCTCTTCATACTCACAACCACTATCACAATACTCACACATATTAGAGTGATAATGGGATAAGACAGAGTGATTCTTCTTGGTTTGAAATGAAGAGACCGAGAGAGACTAGAAAAATATGGTGAACCGTGGCTTGAATGAATGACCAACGAATCACTTGAAGAAAACTCTCCTTTTGGTTTGAATGAATGACCAAAAGGGAGAATAAAATTCGGAAAAATGAAACGAGCAGGCTCCTCTTCGGTATACTCACAACCAAGGCAACACCATTGGTGACCCTCCATTACCTCCGGTTCAGCCAGCACCTCCTCTGGCCACACCTTCAGCTCCTCCTCCGGCCACTCCATCACCACCACCATCACCACCGGACCCACCTTTAATATCCCCACCCTTGCCACCGCCTTCGCCGATAAATGACCAGCCATTGCCTCCGCCTCCTCCTCTTTCGGACCCACCTAAGAGCCCTTCCCCACCACCGCCACCACCACCATCAGAACCGTCGTCCCAGCCGCCACCTCCGAGCTCTCCCTCACCACCTGTGTCAGAACCACCACCAAGATATCCACCTCCACCACCTGCAACAGTAGCTTCACCTCCTCCCCCGGTATCAGTTCCTCCTCCTCGGCATGAGGCTTGACTAAGTACCAACGGTGTTCTTTGATGGTGGTGTTGGTATCTCCTTTTCCCTCCTACCTCCTCTGAGAACGGAGGAAGAGAAGAGCAGCAAGCAAACACACATCATCTCCAAATACAATTAAACTACAATGTATAAACCCCAATGTACATTTATATAAAAGCATCTTACTATGATTCATTACTCATGCCATTATTAATGCAAATTAGACAATCTTCTCGTTCAAAATTTACTATTCTTCGTTTTATTTTATTTTGCTTGTATGACTGTATAAAATCGATCCAAAACTTCAAAAACAGTTGAACTAAAAAAAAAGGCTAGAAGTTAACTTTGGCCGAAGGGTGGTCCTAATTTGTTTAAGAACAACATGATGACATACACAAGAGCTCTCTCTATATTTATTATTGATAATCTATCATATATATATATATTCTATTTCTATTTAGTCAAAAGAAAACCCAACAACCATTTCACAAATTAGTTGCATCTCCCTTGACCAACTTCTCAAAAGCCTTGTCATGCAAGCAACTGAAAACCCTATACATTGCTTTTCTCTTATATATCTCTTACATTCCCCCAACCCTTCTCTCCCACTCCTTGACTCCCTCAGTTCAACATTTTCCTTACTAAATCCTGAATTCAGATCAGGGTTTCAGAAACAAAAAATGAAACTTCTCGCCGTGTTTTTGGTCGTCTGTTCTGTCCTTATACCGGGTTTTTCATTTGATGTTACGGGAAAAGATCTTCCCTTGTCCCTAGATTACTACAAGTCTACTTGTCCTACTGTGTTTGAGGTCATCTGGCTGTTCCTCCAGACAATGCACCTCCACCTCCCAGGAGAAGGCCAGCTCAACCGGCTTCTCCATTATCTCCCCGTCCTTCTAATTCTTCTTCACCGCCATTACTATCCCTTCCTCCACCTCCACCTCCACTAGTAGGCCCACCATCTCCTCCTCAAGTTCCTACACCAAGTTCAGATAATCCATCTCAAGACAGCCCTAATCTTAGTGCCCCAGACAGTTCTGTTCCTTCCGGTAATAGCGGCATTAATACAGGAGCTGTCGTGGGTATCAGTGCTGCTGCGGCGATTGTGCTGTTCAGTCTTTTTGGACTCGCCATTTGGTGCTTGAGGAGACAAAGAAGGCAGCTTTCCGCCATTGGTGGTGGCTATGTTATGCCATCACCAATGGGTTCCTCCCCAAGATCAGGTATTGCGCAAGGCCACCATGTGTATAGGCAATGTAAAATCTCTTTTCTGTTTTTGGATTTGAACTTCTGTATGTTGAAAAATTATGATCAGTGACTTGTGTGCAGATTCTGCGCTTTTCAAGATGCAATCTTCAGCACCACTTGTAGCAAGTCACTCTCGAAGTCCTTCGGGTTATTCACAATCAGAACCTGGTGGCTTAGGGCATTCAAAGGCTTTGTTCACTTATGAAGAGCTTGTCAAGGCAAGAGCTGGATTTTCATCTGATAATCTTTTAGGTGAAGGTGGATTTGGTTGTGTGTATAAAGGGTTCTTACCAGATGGTAGAATTGTTGCTGTGAAGCAATTAAAAAGCGGTGGAGGACAAGGAGACCGAGAGTTCAAAGCCGAGGTTGAGACTATAAGTAGAATACACCACCGGCATTTGGTTTCATTGGTCGGATACTGCATTTCGGAGAACCGGAGGTTGCTCATTTACGATTATGTCCCTAACAACAACCTTTACTTCCATCTTCATGGTAAGCGTTTTTCCAATCTTTCGAAACCCGCATCAAAAATCACACGCTTGATGATACTTAATACCCTTTTTCGTGTTTTTCCGTGGTCATTAGCATCAGGAAGACCAGTTCTGGACTGGGCTACACGTGTCAAAATCGCTGCTGGTGCAGCTCGTGGAATAGCTTATCTCCATGAAGATTGTAAGTTGTTGTTTGATGTTATCTTATGAACCATAAATGTCTTGCCCCTTGATGAATCTTCCTCAAGTCCATGGATCTCTCCTGGTTCCTGACGTAATTTTGCCATCTCTTGGACAAATGGATTTCGCGTGAAATTCTTCCTGCAAGGAAATATATTCTTACTGTATGGTATAATTTCAGGCCACCCTCGTATCATCCACAGGGACATTAAGTCATCCAACATTCTTTTAGAAAACAACTTTGATGCTCGGGTATGTCCTTAGATCATGGCTTTTTTACAGCTTTTCGGTAATGGCGAATATGGAGTCCTAGAATGTTATTAGATCATGTTTTTTTTACAGCTTTTGGTCTCTCACTTCGTAGGTTTCTGACTTTGGTCTCGCAAAGTTAGCCCTCGATGCCAACACACATGTCACAACACGTGTTGTCGGAACATTCGGGTATGTTCTAAAATTGCTTTTTATGATTCGCAAATTTCCTACTCTTAGATTAGATTTACAGTTTTCTTGCATCTAGTAAAATGTTTTAAAAAATTATTTGTTTTCAGCTACATGGCTCCTGAATATGCATCAAGTGGAAAGTTAACTGAGAAGTCTGATGTGTTCTCCTTTGGGGTTGTTCTTTTGGAGTTAATTACTGGACGTAAGCCTGTGGATACTTCCCAACCTCTTGGAGATGAGAGCCTTGTCGAATGGGTAATATACATACACACATATATATATATATATATATATGCTAATTACTTGCAACTTTGTAGATAAAGTTGGAACCTTTCTTCAATGCTCTCTCGCCATTTATACAAAGTTGGAACCTTTCTTCACTGCGCTCTCACCCTTTGGATAAAGTTGGAAACTTTCTTCACTGCGCTCTCACCCTTTGGATACATTTGGAACCTTTCTGCAATGCTCTCGCCATTTAGACAAAGTTGGAACCTTTCTTCACTGCTCTCTCACCATTTCAGACCTTCCATTAACATTTTTCAGGCCCGACCTTTGCTGAGCCATGCTCTTGAAACCGAGGAGTTTGATGCTTTAGTTGATCCCGAGCTTGGAGGCAACTATGTGGAATCCGAAATGTTCAGAATGATTGAGGCAGCAGCCGCTTGTGTGCGTCATTCAGCAATCAAGAGACCTCGAATGGGCCAAGTACAGAGATTTCACCCTCAACCTCGAAGCTTTTTACTCTCTTTTTTTTCCGTCCATGAAATTTGTTGGCTAAAAAAACCTATAGAATTATGCATAACAATCTCTCTCTCTCTCTCTCTGAAAATGGCAGATCGTGAGAGCTTTTGACAGTCTAGCGGCTGTAGACCTAACCAACGGGATGAAAGTGGGCGAAAGCGAGATTTTCAACTCGGCTCAGCAATCTGCAGAGATCAGATTGTTCCGAAGGATGGCATTCGGCAGCCAAAACTACAGTACAGATTTTCTCACGCATAGTGGTAGTTATAGCAGCAGACACGAACTCATGTAAATATGAGACATAGGGAGAGACAACAGATTGTTCTTTCACCATTAGAGAGTACCATCAAGAAAACCAAACACCTTTCCTCCAAGATAACAGTTTTGTCCGAACTCCCCTAAAAAAAACCATGGTGATTCTTTCATACTGTAATTATGCAGAGTGCGTCCACCAGCTTCAACGCCTAAAGCAGAGATTCTCCATGTTTTTTTGTTTCTGTTCATCTTTCTTGTCCATACTGTGACAGTCATGGAAGCGCAGGTACTTGGCTGGAGCTGTTGCAGAAACAGGGAGTACTGTGACTTTTCTCCCAAGTTTTTTCCTTTTATTTAGAAAAAATGCATATAAATGTTTAAATTTTTATAAAACTTTAAATAAATATTTAAACTATAAAATTTTTATATAAATATCTAAACTAAACTTCTTTAACTGTCGATTTTAAATTTATTTAAAAAAATAAGGTTTAGATATTTTAATAAGATTTTGTAGAATTTCAAGTATTTATATGTACCCAAAAAAAAGTCCGAAATGCCATATTCTTTTTATTTTTTGTGATTTTATTATGACTAACTTATAACTTATATACAGATGATTTTTTTGTCATATTTTTTAGAATCAATTGTAACTATGTTTAGAATTTATTACGAAGTCGTAATAACGAAGTTGTTTTCGAACGGATAAATATCGTATATTTATTAAGGGTAATTTCGTCTTTTCAAAAAAAATTAATGTGTTATGTTTTTTTATGGTGTACGCGTGAAAATAGCTGTGACTCCGGGTCATTTTAGTAAAAAACCATCTGCAAATCCCGTTGCCAGTCCCAGTTTCATATTCTGCTGCCTTCCCCGTAAATCTTATCGGAAACGCGGCAATGGTTTTCTCTCTGGTTACATCACCTCGAGGAACTCAGCAGCAGCGTCTGCGTCTAACGAGGTAGTTCCTGTCCGTCTCTGTCGGGATTTGGGAAAATGTACAATACATATGCGAACTCAGTTATATGGTCGATTAGAAGTAGAGGGTTCCATGATTACTCCTACTTGCTCCCTGAGAGATCCGAAAGATGCCCATCTGCGGTATCATCGTCGAGATGTTGTTTTGCTAATTCTCGTTCATCATGTCCACCATCATCGTCATCTTCCTTTGTCAATTCGAAGAGATCGATAAACCCTAGATATGTGCCTTATGGGTTGAAGCAGTCAACTCTCATTCAATGGCCGCCATTTCGGAGGAGGTTGCTGATGAGTAGGGAAGATCGGCTTTTTGATCGGTTTCTGGGTTGTGAAGTAGATGGGAAACGCTGTCAGGTTGTGAGGGGCAAATCTGAAGAGTGGGAAGAAGCATACGGACAAGAATCTGAGAGGAGAAAGATTGATGAAATGTTCATGAGGGAAGCGTTGGTTGAAGCAAAGAAGGCTGCTGATATGTGGGAAGTGCCTGTCGGAGCTGTCCTTGTGCATGATGGGAAGATTATTGCCAGTGCTTGTAACCTGTAAGTTACCTTTTTTTTTATTAAAAAGATTTATGTTATGAATCATTATAGTTCAATTGGGTTCATACCACACACAGTTTCGTGTTTCAGAGTGGAGGAGTTGAGGGATTCAACTGCTCATGCAGAAATGATCTGCATACGGGAAGCTTCAAAAGTACTCCGTTCATGGAGGCTGGCAGTAATCTCTCTCTCTATATATCTGAAATTTCCTTCTTGACATTCAAATGTCTATTTTGATCGATTTGCTGTAAGCAAAACCATAAAAAGAAGTCGATTGTTGTAATGAGATCATTACAGATGTTCCTTGTAAACAACACAAACACTTACTAGAGAAACAGGAACAAGTTGATGTCAGAAGTCTTAGTTTCTAGGCAAGCTGTTTAGATCACTGTTTATGTTCTTCCCCTTCAGGATACAACACTCTATGTAACACTTGAACCATGCCCGATGTGCGCTGGAGCAATACTTCAAGCAAGGGTTAACACTCTTGTATGGGGTGCTCCCAATAAGCTCCTCGGAGCAGATGGCAGCTGGATTAGGTTCCTGCCCCGATCTCTTCTCTACTGTTGTTCCAAACATTACTTCCCTGTATTTGGTTAGAAAATTCATGAGTCGCAGGCTGTTCCCGGGGGCTGAAGGGGGATCAGAGCCATCAGACAAACCACCGTCACCAGTTCATCCATTCCACCCGAAAATGACAATCAGAAGAGGTGTTCTTGAATCAGAATGTGCAGAGGCAATGAAGCAATTCTTCCAGCTTCGGAGGAAAAAGCAAGACAAGACAACAGACAAGAACCCAGATCATCATCATCATCATCATCAATCATCAATGAAGATGCATCAGATCTTACCCTTCTTCTGTCTGTAGATGCAAGTGACTGGTCAAGTTGTATGTTTCTCCACGCCATGTTGCGTTTTGGACGAAATGTGAAGAAAGCAAGTATGTTGTTGTAATGTCTAATTGTAAATACTTAGCCTCTCTTATCAGTGATGGAGCCTCCTTACCACTCTTAGGTACAAAAGGGACGTTTCACATCACCCTTTGGTAAAAGGCTTCATGTGGTTTCCATCTAATTTTCTGCAAATATATCAAACTTCATTGTCGTGTGGTTATCACAAATCTGAAGTTAGAAAGAAGCAACATACCATATTCCAATGATGAAGAAGACTTAGATCTCTACCACCAACTGCTACTGTTGCACCAAACGTGTTTATGCTTCAAGAAAATCCCAAATTTCCCATAGCTTTATACAGACCACCAATTGTTTGCCAATGCATTCCATCGCAAAACACAAATGGCTTCAATCACTTGGGTCCATCTCCTACTAGCTTCTTGCCTCTTATCTTCTCTGTTTAGTTCCAATGCACAACCTCCAGCAGCTTCACCGTCCTCCTCCTCCACCACCACAGCTCCTCCTCCAACCACCACAGCTCCTCCTCCCACCACCACCACCACTCCACCACCGGTTACAGCTCCTCCTCCAACCACCACATCTCCTCCCACCACAACTCCACCATCTACACCACCGGTTGCAGCTACTCCTCCTACATCACCACCGGCTCCAAAAGTAGCACCCATAAGCAGCCCCGCCGGTCCACCACCACAGAACCCTCCTCCAGTTTCAGCTCCATCACAGCCACCGCAACCACCACCGGTATCACCACCTCCTGCCCCTACTTCACCTCCTCCTCCGACTTCACCACCTCCTGCTCCTGCCTCGCCTCCACCTGCCCCTGCTTCGCCTCCTCCTGCTCCGACTTCACCGCCTCCAGCAGAGGTGCCTGCACCAATAGGCCTGCCACCAGCTACAGCGCCAGCACCTGCACCGGCCAAGCACAAGAAGAGAAAGCATAAACACAAAAGGCATCACCATGCCCCGGCTCCTGCGCCAACTCCTCCCAGCCCTCCATCCCCTCCGGTTCTTACAGATACACAGGACACAGCTCCAGCACCAGTTCCATCTCAGGATCAGGTTTTGATTTCTTAAACTGTTTTCCATCACTGAACAATAAGATTGAAAGAACTGTCTAGCTCATTGGACTGCAAGAAGATAAAAAGGTTAACTATCAATTTCATGTTGTAAATCTTTGGACTAAACCCTTCTCCAATTTCTTGGATTTCAGAATGGAGGATATTCCCTGCAGCAGTTGGGAGGAAGAGTTGGAATGCTGATAAATACAGGGATTGGAGTTCTCATTCTGCTCGCAATGACGGGTTAAGCTTTCTAGATATCTACATATCATCCGCGTGAATGAACTTCAAATATCATCACATTTTTCCCATATGTATACCCATTATACAAATTCAAATAATATCATTCTTTGAATTGTTCTGAAATCGAGATCCTGTCAATGCTGTCATGCTTACAAAAGGAAAAAAAAAGAGAAAAAGAACAAAATATGGCTAAACTATATCATTCGCCACAGCTAATCAAACATGATCCACACCCAAATCCTTTGAGGTGTCGCGGAAGTCATACTCGACAATGAGGCCGAGATTGTCAACTAATTTGTGATGCCGGAGACATCCTCCACACTGCCAAAGACAAATCACTGGTTTCAGGCAATCAACCAACCAAACATCAACAACCCCTTCAGCAATCAATGCCAATGCAAACAAAACAAACATTGAATACTACTTGGCATCATCTCTTTCCACGATCAAGCAAGAATTTGGATATATATAATTTGATCAATGGATCGAATACCTGGACAAAGACAAGTCCCCTTTCGTAAGCCAGTCGATTCACAAGCCGGTTCGTCCTTTCTCCACATGAATTACAAGTAAATTGCACAAGCAAGCTTCTTCTTGGTAGTTTGATATCAGTAGAAGCAATTTGCCCCTACAGATCAACAGCAACATACATAATCCACAGGTTTCGGACAAAAACACCAGACAGCACGAAATTCAAGCCGGAACATGGCCGGAAGTTAAAATCCTTAATTTCCAATACCTCTTTGGGATCCTCAGATTCTTCTTCAGGGTTTGGCCCGGAATCATCGCTGAGCGACCCGGAAATGGCAAATGATCGATTCCGTTGCTTGGGCGCTAATGCTGATGACACACGAGCAGTTGTCAGGCTGAAGAAGCAAAGGATACCAGATGAGTTGACAAAATTTTCAAAATTATTTTACAGAAAAATGGAAAATTGAGATGAACCCTAGAAACCAAAATTGCAGACAAATAAGACCCGGAAAAAAATCAGTCCCCCCCCCCTCAGGCGAGGCCTGAGTAGTTCTGAGCTAGGGTTTTACCTCGAAGCCAGAAAAGGCGGCTTGTAGAGCCGAGCAGATAACCGAAAATTGACTGGATTTAAACAGTCGTTCGCCGGAGAAGAAAACGAAGCAATTGCCGGAGAAAACCCAAAGACCGTCGTCGCTGCCGCCATTTTTGGCGTCATTGTCTCTAAGGAGCAAACTCCAGCTAAATCATAAGGTAGAGCGGAAGAACCTCAGCCGTTGATGTCAATGGACTACCGTGCCACGTCATACTCTTCCAAATCTCTATTATTTTTTTTTCATTAATTAATGTTAACATCATCCACTCCGAACTTGGTCATGAAAGTTTCAATTTTTCCGACATGTATTACAGCATAAGTTGAACCAAATTCATTTTTTTGAGGTGGGATATAAATCTCATTGAACTAATTAGTGTAACTTGGCTAAAGTTTGAAACTTTAGTATGACATGATAAATTATACCCATATTTAAGTAGATGATGAGGTTTTTTGTAATTTGTTTATATGTATATGATGATTTTTCATTTATCATCACTTTTTATCTCTCTGTTTTTTTTAATCCCATTTATTTATTAATCTTTCTTCCAAAATTTCATTCAATACTGTAACTATCATTATCAATATTTTAAACTATATATATAAGTGCATATTTATATTATTTCCAATTTGATTTCTTTATCATTTTTCTTAATTTTTCTTGGTAAAATATTTTATTAATTAATATCATTAGAAAACATTTTTTATTTATATTAAATATTCATTGTGTACTAAATTTTGTTGATGGAAATTCTTACACAATCACAGAAACAAATATAATATAATTTTTATTTTAGAATTAATTTTATGTGTTGTTGTATGCTTTATTTAAAAAAAATCTTAGTGTGGTAATTATATATATATATGGCTGAATGCATGGGCGGACCCAATTGGAGAAGAATGGGGGCATATGCCCCCATTGGTTTGATTAAAAAATTATAATTCATTTATAAAATTGATCACATTTTAACCAAAATTTATAAATATTCTATTGTAAATTATATTTATCACATGCTAAATTTAATTCTGCCCCCACTTAGAATTTGTTCTAGGTCCGCTACTGGCTGAATGTAAATCAGGTATTTTTTATCATTATTAAGTCAAAATTTGTAAATATGCTTAGATTTTTTAATATTTTTTTATTTTCTATAATTTTATGGTAACCGATGGACAATGAAGTACAAAGCTATATACCATTTTATCATCATCATCATCATCATCATCATCAGACGTTCTTCTAAATTATCCCAATACAGATTCTACCTCCATAAATATATCTTTATCCCACTTTTATAACCTCGCAAATTCAAGTAAACGATTTTTTTATTAGAAAAATTGAAGACAATAATTACAGATGATTCGATCTGTATCATCTAATCTGGTGATATAAAATCTAAACTTAAATTACCAAACAAGTTTTTTAAACCCTTGACACTTTTTTTACAATTACAGACAACACACCACAATGAATTCAAGATTTTCCCTCCTCTCTCTCTCTCTCTTTTGGGAAGGTTTAATCTTGAATTCAAGATTTTGCTGCTCTTGATCTTGATCACCCATCTCTTCCTTAAAGATAACATGATCAAATGTAATATTTGTATATAATAAAACACCGTAAAAGAAAAAGACCTACGATCTAAACCCGATATCCAAAACCTCTAACTTAAAACAAAATCTTCAATTTTTTTTTTTTGATAACGGTGAAAACCCATCCTCGACCCTTCGGGTCGAACTCCGCAACGCCTCACAACCCAAGGGGTCAGACGAATGACACGGTATCGTGGACGGTAAATTCAACTGCTCAACGCAATAGCCAACAAACCACGCCGAACAGGTAAACCAGCCGAAACTGGTCGGTTCAGGGGAAGTTTGACACCAGGAAGAATCGAACCCTGAAGTTGTGTAGGGGTTGTCATCTCCAAAAATTTTGGAATACGTACGTTAAAAAAAAGAAAAACAAGAAAGAGAGAACAAATCAATCATGAAGAGAGTCAA